TGTGATGAAACCACGTTGCAGGTGATCGTCAAGGTAGGTCTTGACTAGCTTGAGTTGCTCCAGCGACATGCTGTACAGCGGGCTGCTTGACAGTGTGTTCTCTTGCTGTAAGCTGGATGTCGTGGTCGACTCCCTCACGGTGAGGTGGGAGCTTGTCGGAGTCCTTTTTGGAGAAGTGGGCCAGCGTAGCTCCTGCATACAACGGTGCCGGGAGCTTTTTGTTGAATCAACTGGCGGAGCTCCTCCTCTGGGTCAAGCTGGTTTGTCTCTTCTTGACGGTCCTGGATGAGCTTCTCCACTTCGTACACGCTTCTGTGACCAATGACGACTTCCTTTTGTCGAGCATGCAACATGAAGGCGGCAGGACTTATTACGTTGATGTCTAGACCAGCATTGATGAGTGTATCGCGTGACATGGTTGAGTTGCGGCGATTCCTGCGATGGGGTCGTGAGCTTGGCTTTGGAGTGCTGAGCTGGTCACGCATCTTCCTGAGGTTCTCCTTGTACACGAGATGCTCAGTCGCCCTTTGTTTACCTGCTGGTTGGGGCGCGGCCACACTCATAAGTTTGTCGCGTCTTCTCAGCGTTTTCTTAGTGACTTAGGTTCATCTCTGGAGACAAGCCGCGCACAGGGATGTTGATGTCGCGTTTACAATCGATCAGCCTGTCGTCCTCTAGCCATCTTAGTGCACGGTTCTTGCAGTTGATCCATACGCCTGCTTCCTCGAGCAGCTTGCGACCGATGATGAGGTCGTGACGACCAGTGTTGCAGGGTATGAAGTACGATGGTATCCGGTGGGGTCTACCCGCATCTCGAGCTTTGAGAGTTTCCCCATGCTAGTATTGGTTTGATGCTGCTGGCAGTGCAGCCGATTGATCGATGATGCTGCTGGCAGTGCAGCTGGCTGGTCGGTGATGCTGCTGGCAGTGCAGCTGATTGATCGGTGATGCTGCTGGCAGTGCAGCTGACTGGTCGGTGATGCTGCTTTGGGTCCCGAGAGGGTGAAGCAGATGGGGCGGTCGATGCTGCTGGCGGGGCAGCCTATTGATCGGTGATGCTGCTTTGGGTCCCGAGAGGGTGAAGCAGATGGGGCGGTGGTGCTGCTGGTAGAGCAGCCTTTGTCTCCTGCAGGCGGTGCAGCCATTGTCGATGCTGCTGGCGGGGCAGCCTATTGTTGATGCCACTGGCGGAGCAGCTGTTGTCTACTACAGGCGGTGCAGCTATTGTCGATGCTGCTGGCGGGGCAGCCTATTGTTAATGCCGCTGGCGGAGCAGCTATTGTCTACTGCAGGCGGTGCAGCTA